TTTAGAGCTACCAGTGAGGTAACTTTAAATAGCTATTTGGAGAACTGTGGGCTCCTCTAATCAATGAAAGCTTAAGGTGGAAAAGAATTATTAGGCTGATTTCATACTTTCTCACTGTCAAAGGGAGGCAGATCAACCACCTTTCCCACAGAACTTCTTAGAGAATAAAACAAGCTCGGTGCCCCTGAACTCAGAACAAAGAAAGGGGAGCAGCAAATTCGCATCATTTTCATGAACTCTTTTGCTTAAAAGAGAAAACATTGAACAACTTTGAAAGACCAATCATTGAAATGATCAACCACAATTCCAGAGGACCAATGATGAAGCGTGCTATCTATCTCTTGACAAAGAGATGATAGACTTACAGCGCAGAATGAGATAACACTTTTTTTTGACATGGCCAGTATAGAAATTAGTTTTGCTTGACTGTTTGTTAAAAGGATTTTTTCTTTTTTTTTTCTTTTCCAATGGAGAGATTTGGAGAGAGCTAGAAGGGATACTGGTGTTTTAGTCTCATTCCCCTCATCATTTTTTTAAGATTGGATCTCCATATCATTACTAGGTTAGAAGTGCAGCTGCCACTCACAGCCCAGTGCTCATAGCCAGGTGAGTTCTGACATACTCTATTTCTTTTTATTTGGATTAGTTTGCCCCACCCCTCTACAGGTTCACCATATTGGTGCCAAACCATATGAACACTCAATTGACTGCATCCCTACTGCATATCAGAACTTCTGAGCTCAAGCAATCCACTAGCCTCAATCTCCTCAGCACCAGAATTGCAGGTATGTACCCCCACACCTAACCTTTATTCCAAGCATCATTCTATAAGTAAGGAGCATAAGGCTTAGAGTCACTTGTTCAAGGTCACAAAGTGAGGTAGCAATGGAACCTGTGTTGGAACCTAATATGCTCTATACACTTCCCTGTTAATATAAAATATGAATTATCTTGGTCAATATCTATCCTCACTTCTTCCTACATTTTACTCTTCCATCAGTCCATTCAAGAGTATTGTTTTTGCCACCACTCTAGGTGGGAAAATTCCACTGAGCCATGTTGGAGATAATTGCTGCAAATGTTTAGTGAGCATCTTTCATTCTGACAACAGCTGAGTGTAAGGACAGAAGACCTTTGATACCAAAACTGTACTTAGAACTTACATATTAGGTTTTTAAAGCATTCTTTTGGGGGAGGCAAGGATCTAGAATATGATTTCATTGGTTTGGGGCAGTAGTATCAAACTCAAATAGAAATCAGAGCCACTAATACATACATAAGGATTCCCATGGGCTGCACATTGATTTAGTTTAAAAATGTAATTTTATCTATATTTTATTGTTATTTCCCATTTATATTTTAATTTGGTTCAAACTTCATTCAAGAATGTTATGGGCCTAATATGGCCCACAAGCCACATGTTTGACATACTCTGGTACAGGGATCTCTTTGTGAGGGAACTTCATCTACTAATGCAGATCCTTAACCATTTTTATACTGTTGTATGGGGCCCTGAAGAATTGTCTATACATTAGAAGGTCAGGACTTGAATTCAGGTCTTACTGATTCAAAGACTGGCTCTCTCTATCTATCTACTCTGCCTCTGAGCATCCTCAAGGCTGTTTACACTTAATGGGAGGGATGGGGGAAGAGTGCAGAATTTAATGGTAAATGATGATTTTCTTAGGTTTGCTACTGATTTCTTTTGGAGACAGTACCTTGTTGGCACTTCCATTTACAATAAGCACCAGCTGCCAGCTGACCTATCCCAGAATTACTCTGAGAGAACAGAATTTACTCTTAGTACTATTCTGGGCACAGAGCATATACTGGCCAGTATCATTTACACCTTTTGTTCTTTATATTCTGTTTCCTCCAGGTATTCTATAATCTTATAGAGAGCAAGGATTGAATCTTATACTTGATTATCCCCCAAAGCATCCCTGACTCCAAGGATTTTACATTCTTGGGGGTAGTGGGGTAAGACAATACATAGGCATATAAGTAGACAAAGAATAAATCCAAAGCAAATATAAGATAACTTTAGAGGAAGAAGCACAATAGCCAGGGAGGAGGGGGGGGAAAGACAAGAAAGTTAGAAGGGGGTACTTGAGTAGAGCTTTGATTGAGGCTAGGTATTCTAAGAGGTAAAAATGAGGAGGGAGTACATTCCAGGTATGGGAGATATATTCATGGATACAAGAGATGGAGTGTCATGTATGAAGGAAAGCAAGTAGGTCAATTTGGCTAAACCATAAAGGATATGAAGAGGAGTATTATGTAATAAATCTCTGGGGAAAATGGTGCGGTAAAACTACTGCTTGCCATACACCTAAAAGAGCTTTAAAAAAGACCCATGTATACAAAGGTATTTTATAGCAAAAAAAAAAAATACGACTGGTAAGAAAATATGGGGGCAGCTAGGTGGTGCAGAGGATTCAGCTCCAGCCTTGGAGTTAGGAGGACCTGAGTTCAAATCCAGCCTCAGACATATAACACTTATTAGCTATGTGACCCTAAGCAAGTCACTTAACACCACTGCCTAGCCAAAAAAAAAAAAACCAGAAAGAAAGAAAATATGTCCCTATCAATTGAACAATGACTAAAGAAATCATGATATATGAATCTAATGAAACATTAACATGCCCTACAAAATTATTAACATGACACATTCAGAGAAACTTGAGAAAACTTGTTCATACTAATGCAGAGTGAAGTGAGCAAAACCAGAAGAATAACATACACAAGGAAAATCATAATATAAAGGGAAACAATCTTGAGAATTCAGAATTTTGATCAATTAAGTGAAAACTGATGATGAAGCCTGCATCCATCCTCTTGGGAAAGAAGTAATGGATTATAAGTGCAGAATGAGACATATTCTTTCTAACACACCCAATATGTTGATTTGATTTGCTTGACTACAGTTATTACAAGAGATATCTTCTCTTGGAGGGCTGGTGGGACCCTGATGGATAATGTTAGAGAGCGAGGGAGAGGGGGAGAGGGTGGGAGAGAGAGAGAGAGAGAGAGAGAGAGAGAGAGAGAGAGAGAGAGAGAGAGAGAGAGAGAGAGAGAGAGAGAGAGAGAGAGAGAAGGGGGAGGGAGAGGGGGAGGGAGAGAGGGAGGAAGGAAGGAAGGAAGGAAGGCAGGAAGGAAGGAAGGAAGGCAGGCAGGAAGGAAGGAAGGCAGGCAGGAAGGAAGGAAGGCAGGCAGGAAGGAAGGAAGGCAGGCAGGAAGGGAGGAAGGGAGGAAGGCAGGAAGGGAGGAAGGGAGGAAGGCAGGAAGGGAGGAAGGGAGGAAGGGAGGGAGGAGGGAGGAAGGGGGAGGGAGGAAGGCAGGGAGGGAGGAAGGCAGGGAGGGAGGAAGGAGGGAGGGAGGAAGGGAGGGAGGGAGGAAGGCAGGGAGGGAGGAAGGAGGGAGGGAGGAAGGGAGGGAGGGAGGAAGGCAGGGAGGGAGGAAGGGAGGGAGGGAGGAAGGGAGGGAGGAGGAAGGGTGGAAAGGAGGGAGGGAGGAAGGCAGGAAGGGAGGAAGGCAGGAAGGGAAGAAGGCAGGAAGGGAGGAAGGGAGGGAGGGAGGAGGAGGGAGGGAGGGAGGAGGAGGGAGGGAGGGAGGGAGGGAGGGAGGGAGGGAGGGAGGAGGAGGAAGGGAGGAAGGGAGGAAGGAAGGAAGAAGGAAGGAAGGAAGGAAGGAAAGGAAGGAAGGAGGAAGAAGGAAGGAGGAAGGAAGGAAGGAAGGAAGGAAGGAAGGAAGGAAGAAGGAAGGAAGGAAGGAAGGAAGGAAGGAAGGAAGGAAGGAAGGAAGGAAGGAAGGGACAGGACATTAATGAGATATTTTAAAATGCATAAGAGAGAAGGAAGTTCAGAGGTGACACAGACAAGCAAAGCAGTTTTATTGCTACTATGTTAAAGTTAATAATTCTATTTTTAAAACTATATAACAAAGTTCATGGTTAAATAACAGCCAGAATTTATATAATATTTTAAGGTTTACAAGCTCTTTATATAGATTACCTTTTTTGATCCTTACAACCACCCTGTAAGGCAGATGCTATTATTATTCTCATTTTAAGGATAAAAAAAACTGAGGCTAGAATGAATAAAATGACTTGCCCAGGGTCATCTATCTAGCTAGTGTCTAAAACAGGATTTGAACTCAGAATTTCTTGATTCTAACCCTCTATTCCTGGCAACACTCAATTGGCATATGTAATGTCTTTTGTATATCAAAATATCTATTTTTACTGATGCTTTTAAAATTCATAACAAAAACAAAAACCAGAAAAGCAAAAGTAGATTGGAACTAAATTATTAAGGGCTTCAAATGCCAAAGACAGCATTTCCATTTGATCCTAGAGACCATAGGGAGGTACGGGAGTTCTTTAAGCAGGGGAGCGAGACCTGGGCTGACACTTTGGCAGCTGTCTAGAATATGAGTCAGACAGGCAAGATAAGATAGCTGTTGGGGACTTAAACTGTAATGGTGGCCATATGGGTGGCTAAAAGGAGGCAGACATGAGAGGTAATATGGATATAGAATCAACAAGACTTAGTAATTTAATTGGATATTGGGAGGGTGGGGAGGTGAAAGAGAATAAAGGGTCAAGGAAGGCTGAGGCTTTGAACCTTGATGACTGAAAGTACTAAGGATGTCAAAATTAGGGAAGTTAGGGTGTCTGGGGAGCAGGATGAGTTGTATTTGGGACATATTGAATTTGGAGATGCCTTTAAGATGTATAGGTGGAAATATCTAATAGGCATTTGGTGATATGAGACAAATTCTGCAACTAAAAATTAAAATAGAATTTATTCATGAGCTGTCGAGGCATTATAATTGTTTTCAGAGAAAAAAATCAAGCAAGCAAGAGCTTACATTTCTCAATCAAGCACTGATTTTCAAACCTTTCAGGGTCTTTTAATAAAACAGAAGACTGTTACAAAAGCTAAAGAAAGTATCCTCAAGGTTCAATACTGATGTCTCACAGGGAGGGTTTTAATTACCATTCCAAATAATAATGCCAGAGTCTCATAATCAATCCACTCTGCCACTCTGACCAGGCTGGGTCTCTGAAATCAAAGAAGAAAATCACCAGTTAACACTGTGTATCACCAATGTAGTCATTAGCTGTGAACATATAAACACCTCTCACTTAAAGTCCCTCTCCAATGGGCTAGAACCTATTAGGCTCCTTGCCTCTGGAGAGCACTGACAGCCCAGTTCTCACAAATTTAATTGCATTCATTCAACATTTTTTTTTAGAAAGACAGACCCAGGATTATTATAAAAAGAAATGAAACATTCATTCTAACACAACCATCCCACTTCTAGCCTAAACTTATTTTCTCATACAATCCATTCATGGAATCTGCTCAATGTTATAGCAGTAATAAGAAAAATTCTTGAATTTAAATAATGCTATATATTTTCCAAGTATTTCTTTGTATTTATAAAAAATATAATTTAATAGTATAATAAACCTGGGATGGACAGAGGACAAATAATAATTATCTCCATTTTACACATGAGAAGAAGGAGAAATAAAAAAGTGAAATGACTTCATCAAAGTCATACAAATAATTAAAGGAATACATATTAACAAAAGATTTGAACATGGATCTGGTAATTCCTAGTATACTTCAATTTCAAATGAGAGGCAGTAGAGTATAGTGGATAGATCAGTGGTCTCTAAAGGGAATTATGGCATCCTCCCAAGAGGTATGTGGTCAACCAATTGTTGAGTGGGAAAGTGGGAAGCATCCCATCCTCTTCCACAATAATGTTATTTCTACCTCCACATCTCTCACATCCATCACTTTCTTTCCACTCACCTAGCTACTATCTTATTTCAAGCCCTCATCTCCTCTCAAGTGGATTATTACAAAGCCCTCCTATTTGGTCTCCCTGCCTCTTCTTTTCAGTTTCAATCTTATCCTTCACACACCTGCCAAAATGATTTTCTTAAAGCACAAATCTAGCCAGAGAGAGAGAGAGAGAGAGAGAGAGAGAGAGAGAGAGAGACAGAGACAGAGAGAGAGGGAGAGAGACAGAGACAGACAGACAGAGCCTGTGTTGTTGCTGGCAAAATAAAATAAAATTTCCTGTTTGGCACGTTCACAACCTGGTTCCAATCTATCTTTCCAATCCTGTTACACATTACTGCTCTTCCTGCATTTTATGGTCTGGCCAAACTAGATGCTGTTCTTCACATTCATATAAAAACATAACTAAAATATCTAAGCATAAACATGAAATTCAGGTGTGATGCCACCCATTCAGCAGAAGCATATAAAGATAATGGAACAGATAAAAACAGAAAACTTTCTGATGAATTAAAATTAGAGATCATTCACTTTGGCTTGTTATTTTTGTTTCCTATATGGTTAATGGTTACACAACAGAAAAACATGACTTCTGCTGGAAATTTACTGGCTGTTACGCCCTATTTATTAGATATTTTGGTATTATTTGTCTTCCAATAAAAAAAAATAAAGCAAAAAGGAATCCAACTGTGTGGCTAACTCTATTGATCAAGTTAACTGAATAAATAATTACTAACAAACAATTATTATTTAAAAATCTGACTTAGTTCCCAGGACAAGCATAGGGATTTTTTAAAAATAATGAATCATCTTCAATCACATTGCTCCCAAGAGCAGAAAGGTTTTCTGTACCAAAAATAAATTAAATTTTAAAATATTGGTTATTTCATCCTAATCTCATCCTTTTAGATTCTATTTTTGTGTATTATAATTTTGACATATTATTACAGTAGCACATTATATAACTTACAAATGAGTAAACTACACATATTAATCTTTGTGCTCCATTTTGGGGCATTGAGATCATTGGAGAGTCCTGGACCTGGACCTGGAATCAGGAAGACCTGGAGTTCCAGTCCTACTTGCTAGCTGTCTAGCCACGTGCAAGTCACTTGACAGTTCTGAGCCTCAGTTTTTTCATGTGTAAAATGGGTATAATAATACCTTCAATACTTACCACCCAGTGTTGTGTGACATGAAATCACATATGTAAAGTACTTTGTAACTTTTAAAACAGTATATAAACGTGGCATATTTTTATGGATTCATTTAAACAATGACATTAAGCATAGGATACATGGACTCAAAATTTGAGTCCCTGCTTTCATGGAGTTTACATTCTAAAACTAAACCTCTTTCTATTATATAACAATGCTTCCCTTGCATCTTCTCAGTCATTTTACTGAGTGAAATGAGCAGAATTAATCCTATCCACAATTAATAATGGTGGATTTTTAACCTCTGATTTCTGTGACTATGAAATCTGAACTTTGCAATTATCATTTGCTTTACTGGAATTCCTACTATGGAGACTTTGTGATAATTATCATTGTTACTATGCTTCGACTTGCCTACATGCAAAAAGTCATATAATCTTTAAAATTAGTTATAACTAGTTTTTTTTAACCAAATTCAATTTCTTGTTATGCTTTTGGCAATGAGTTGCTTGTTGATAACTGATTATTGTGGTCAGATTCAACTAGTGTGGTTTTTAAAAATATATCTGTGTTGATAGAGATGCTATCTAACAAGAGCATCATCTAACCCAACATTGCCTTTTATTGTGTTTTCTCAGGATCACTTTAACTACCAGGAACTCCAGTGCCATATCAGTAATTGCCTAGAGGGTATTGGATGTTCCAGGTGAAGCTTAACGTGTACAAAGCCAAACTCACATTTCTCTTCTCAGTCCTCCACAAGCCCTCTAAAGGAGGCTGTGTAGTGGAAAGAACACAGACTTCAGACAAAGAGGACCTGAGTTCAAATCATGCCTTTGGTGGTTCACATCACATGCCTATGCAACCTTGGATAAGTCACTACCATCTTTTCTTCTTTTCTCATCTATAAAGTGAAGGGATTGCAGTAGGTGGCTTCTGACATCCATTCAAAATCTAGATCTATGATCCTATGATTTCTACGTCTTCCACCATCATCACCCTACCAATTTCCCTATTTCTATCAATGGCACTACTAACTGTCATGCTTGAAATACGGGAAAGGGAAGGGAAAAGAAGCTAAAGAAAAGAAAGGGAAGGGAAGACAAGGAAAGGGATGATAAAAGAAGGCAAGGGAACACGGGCATTTATTGAGTTCCCACTATGTACCAGGCATTTTGCTAAGTGCTCTAAAAATATTCTCTCATTTGATCCTCACAGCAATCCTGAAAGGCAGGTGCTGTTATCCCCATTTTACAGCTGAGGAAACTTGGGCTGAGAGAGGTTAAGTGACTTACCCTTGATCACACAACTAGTAAGTATCAGAGGCCAAATGTGAACACAGATTTCCCTTCTTCCTGGCCCAGAGCATTAACTAATGCTAAACCTAGCTGTGATTCACTTCTTTCCTTTATATTTTATATTTACTCAATCCATTTGAAACATCTTTTATATTCTTCCTACTACCATTCCTCTAGTATAGAACTTCATTACCCCAAGAGTTTCATTACTAGATCTACTACCTTCAGTTTCTCTCTCCTAAATCCATCCTAATCCAAATGCACTTCTAAATCATTAATTTCTCCAAGTCACTTCCCTGTTCCAAAATCTCCAGTGCTTTCCTAGTCGATAGGTTTTCTCAACTCTTCAGCCTGGTTAAACCTTGTATAATTTGCCTTCACTTCACCTACATATTTTTTTTTCCTTCTTCCTCTACAATGGAGTCAAGCCAAGTCAGTCTTCTTACTGTCTCCTGAACATACTACATTCACTGCCATTTCCAAAACTTGCCTCACTCATCTCTTGACCTGGTATACTTTTCCATTCCTATTCACTTATCTAAATCTTACCCATCCTCATTGCCAGCAGCTTATACTTCTTCCATGAACCTTCCCCTTTGTTGAAGTAAAATAATTATTTTGTTCATACCACTTATTCTGGCATTTAATTATAAACAGTTTCACACTATTACTAAACTATCATGCCTCTCCAACTAGACTGTAAACTCCAGGTGGACAAGGACCATCTCTCATATTTCTTTGATATCTCAAACAGCACCTAGTATACAGTGTTAGGTACCTTATAAGAACTAAACAAATTTTATATAAGGTTATAAGAACCAATCAAAAGGGAAAAAAATGAGATTTGGCAACACCAAATCCAAAATAGGAACCAAAAAGAAACAATGGAAGAGTAGTTTCTTGATTTATAACTATGTTAAGGAGAGTAGAAATAGCAAATTCACTGCACAGAACAAAAAAATTGAGAAATGTTTTAAAAAATAACTTAGCAGTCAACAAAAAAATACCTTTTGGCATCAGAAAAAGAATGAGAACAGTCACCTGACCTCATGGGCCTCAGTTTCCTTGTCCATAAAATTAGGAGGTTGGACAAAATAGCTTCTGGGATATCTTCTAACCCTACATATAGGATTCTGTGTTTCATCTACTTCACTTTAGATGCTAAGTCCTACCCTGTTACTGTGATACACATAGAGGTAACCCCCTGTTTTATGTAGCACATTTTTGCATATATTAATTAAATGGTCAATTGCTCCTTCCATAATCTCCAAAGATAGCAAATGTGGAAGGAGGTCATTTGCCACAAAGAAACACATTAAAACCCAGTCATCGATGCTCCTCTCAATATCAAAAGTAAATGGTGGGGCAGTAGATAGAGCACTAGCCCTGGAGTCAGGCGGACCTGAGTTCAAATCTGATCTCAGACCAGAGACTTGACACTTACTAGCTGTGTGACCCTGGGCAAGTCACTTAACCCCAATTGCCTCGCCAAAAAGAAAAAGAAAAGAAAAGAAAAAAGAAAGAAAAGTAAATGGCAGGCTGGCCACAATTAATTCTCTTTCTAAATACTTAAGAAGCACATTTAGCCGAATGTACATAAACTTTCCTTCTGAAGCAGTAAGACTTTCTTCAAACTGATCATTCTCTCCCTGTTTTTTCCTTGGCAAACCCTGGCAGTCCTTGACTTCATGCCTGAGCTGATTACAAAGACCACATGGTTTTGGTTTGTTGGGTTTGAATTCTTTCCTAATAATTATAAAGCTTGGCTCATGTGTGGCAAGTCCAAGCATAATGAGATCAGCATCCGCTCTACCTAAGTAAGGATGAGTGTTTGGCTCATGGTTAGGTTGAGCTCTTTGTCTTCTAATATAATCCATGATTTTATGTTCTTCTTCACCAGGAGCACTAGCATCAGATAAAATGACAGTCAAATTTTTCCACCCAGGGTCATTATTTAAATGATCAGCAATGTAATATCTACGGCATTTAGCAAGATTGTCCATGAACTCAGTTCCTGGTGTGATACAATTGCTGTCAAATATTTCTTTGATTTCTTCCGGTAACTGCCTAATTTGTTGGTAACTGATTTAATTGAGCCAAACTATTAGTTATTTTGAAAGCTAGTAATACACAGATGGTTTGACTGAACTTAGTCATGTGAACATCCTACCAAATATATGGATTGGAAAGGCATCCATTCTACGCGTCTACTGTTTACTACCTGTGTGATGTTGGACAATTCACTTAAGCCCACCGGCCCTCCATGTCCTCATCTGTAAAATGAAAAGGCTGAACCAGATGGGCTCTGAGGTTTCTTCCAACTCTAGATCTATGTTCATGGAAACCAATCTATTCTCTACATATACTTCTTATTTAAGTTTAATCAAAAAGAAACCCAACTTTGTGTAATGCTTCAAGAAACAATTCCCACTATCTCCCAAGATCGCCAGCTTGTAGAATGGCTGTGTCAGGCTACTGACTAGAGAAAGCTGCAGAAATGACAGGAGGAAGAAGGAGAAATTTTACCTAAAACTGAATTGGATCCTCCCAAAAGCTCTGAGCATAACATCTTACCAAGAAATGAGCTAAGCATTTGAAATGTCGCAACTTACATCACCAATAACAGCTAAGGCCGCTAATGCGGCAAGGGAGCCCAACATTGCTGCCAGAGTTCTGTGAACAATCTGCAATAAAAGAAAAGACTTTATTGGAGAAAAATTCCATTCAATCCATACAACCAGTCACATAACTGGGCTAAACAGGAAACATTTGCATCTCTCTATCATACTCATCAGTTTTATTACAGCATTTTATACCCCTCTGTCAAAAGCCATGGGGGCTAGTCCAGAGCTTGTAGCCCCTGAAGCAAGGGCTCTTGGAGAAAGCGGCTTCCTTTTACTTAATAATTAAATTTTGTTGCTAACATAGTGGAAGAACTGGATAAAGCATGTTCTATCAGAAAGCCTACACTAAAATGTCATTACTGATTTACAACAATTTAATCCCTAGGCAACTGGAACATTAGTTCTACAAAACAAATCAATTCTGCCCAATTAACTGAGAATGTTATTAAACCAAATGTATACAGCCAAATGCTTAATCTAACTGGGGGTATTCTATGTTATCCCTGAGTCACACAAGTATCTCTGGTTTTAATTATTATTCACATAGAAATGAAATTTCTAAGAAGGAAAATAATCCGGAGGAAATTAATAGTAGACAGCAAACCTCATTTGCCACTAATTTTATCAGAATAAGCCTGCTGCAAATGTATTGATAGATGGAGCACCAGGCTCTCAGGGACTCCATTTGTTCCTATGGTGCTATTAGCCAGAAGAGGAAAATGTTCAAAGGCAGCTTCTTCATCCAGTTAATTGCTACAATGAAACCAGTCTGCTGTGGGGTTTGGGGTACGTTTGGTTTTTTTTTTTTTCAGCCTGACCCACTTTTGCAGAACAATATGTACTATTAACAAATAGGCAGACAATCCATTTTTTAAATTACATTTCAAATACAACGGAGAAGGGGGAAATATTGATTGGTTGGTTTTTAGAGTAAGGAACCTGAAAGGACAAAACTATGAGAATAATATTTGAGAAGCTATGCTTCTCAGGAAGCAAGAATGATTTTCACGTGTTATTTTTATGATTTATACCTGAATTTTGACTAGGTTTTTTTCACAGAATCTTTATCCAAGTCACCCTCAATGGGCATGATAAATGCCTTTCTAATTTAAGCAGTTGTATTAAAGCTAGGAAACAGGGATTGGCACTTCTAATATGTTGTTTGCCTAGGCTAAGAATTGGAAATTGAGAGAATGTCCATCAACTGGGGATTGACTGAACAAGCTATGGTATGTGATTGTGATGGAATATTATTGTGCTATAAGAAATGACAAGTAGGATGATTTCAGGGGAAAAAACCTGTTAAGACCTACATGAACCGATACAAAGTGAAGTGAGCAGAACCAAGAGAACATTGTGCACAGTAATAGCAGTATCGTAGGATGAAGAATTATGAATGACTTAGCTATTCTCAACAATACAATAATCTAAGACAATCCCAAAGGACTTATGATGGAAAACATTATCCATCTCCAGAGAAAGAACTGATGGTGTCTGAATACAGATTGAAGGACACTGTTTTTCTTTCTTTCTTGTTAGAGTCTTCTTGTACAAAATTACTAATATGGAAATGTTTTTATATGATAACATATGTATAATCTATATCAGGTTGCTTTCCACCTCAGGGAGGGGGAAGAGAGGGAGAATGGGATAGATTTGGAACTCAAAACTTTTTTTAAAATGCTAAAAATTGTTTTTACATGTAATTAGGGGAAAATAAAATGTTATTAAAATATGCTGTTCACCTAGCTTTTTTCTAGATTTCAGTTCATCATTCACCTTTGAAAAGTCTCCATGTTTTTGATCCTCCATTGATAATGGTTCACAGATTTAAAATTGAATCAAGTATTAGCCAATCTATTCATTCACAAGAAATATTCCAAAATATTTCTCAATTCTAATATGGTCTTTTTTTTTTAACAGATGCTCAGGAAATATTTGTTCAGATAAATTGAATCTATTGGGAAGTGGTGTGGGGGAGGAGGGGAGACTTGAAAATACTATAAGCCTAAAGTGAAAGGTAAGACAGGGAAGAATAAGGAAAAAGTTATATTTCTAGGTTGAGGAAGGAGTAGAAGAAGAAAAAAGGATGTGATCTGAATAATTAAAAAGAAGGAAATTATTTAGGCAATTTGGAGAGATGGTATTATGAGTAAGGCTAGAGACCGAATGTGAGGAGAGAGAATTTGGGAGAAATTGAGGAACATTTGAAGGAAAAGAATCTTAAAATCATATTCTACTTCTGGCTTCTGTGAGAAAGGTTGAAGGGAAAGGAACAAGATTAAGGAGGATTAAAGATGAAGGAATTACTGAGGAATTCATGAATCTGAAGAGACTGACTCAAGGCTTAGGATTGAAGGAGAAAGAGAAGATAGCAGATGGCAAGGCAAGGAATATAAGAAAAGGTAAGTAGGACAAATTGGAAGGTGAAGTGAATTGGCAGAGTAGATTGATATAGGTGATGAAATGGAACTTGGTATTAGAGGTTATGGAAGATAATTGTCAAGCAATTAAGAGATAGTAATTGACTACAACATATTTCAAGAGGTACTTAAGGGTGATGAGTAAACAACCAAGTGTAACCAAAGAGATAGTTTAAAAAAACATGAAAATTATTAATCAGCATGGAAAGCATGTTTAATTTAATTCATGCCCTCACCTACACTGAGTAAAATCTGTATTTCTGCTATGGAACCACTATCTTAGTTCCACTAACAGACTTCTCTCCCTTCTAGACGTGAGATGAAGGACTTAAGGAATGCCTTTCTGCATTTCAAGTTGTTGAGTTCAATAAAATATTCTCATAAAGAAATGAAACTAGAACTCCCTCCTTACATGGAAGAGGGAAAATGTGTGTCTTGTCAAGAGGATGGAAAGTGGAAGAGTATCATACAAAAGAGGAAGGGAAGGAAAAAGATAACTGTATTCTTAAAGCCAAAAAAAAATGAGGACCTTTCTGAAGAGGAAAAAGTTTGGTGCTGAGGAAGAAACAAATATTTGTTCTTTAAGGAATGGAGTGTCAAATGTGAAGCCAGTGGGCCACATGCAGCCCATAACATTCTGGAGTAAAGCCTGAACCTGATCAAAATGTAGTTCCTATCTAATTTTAATGTATTGATAAAAAAAAAAAAAGAAATATATAAACATGTGTGATTTGCTAAGTCATTATGTGGCCCACAGGGATCTTTAGGTAAGGTATAGTAGCTGAGTTTGATAAAGTAGAGTCATAGAAGTTATGAAGTAAAATATATTCCTATAAGGATCAAAGGAAGAAGCAAAGAGTAGCAGTGGTGAATGAATTCCTACTGAGGGGTTTTGAGGAAGCTCTTGCTGACCTGGTAACAAAAGAGATGTCTGTTATCTTTCTGGATCATGCACTCAAGAAATAGAAGAAAACTTACCAAGACTCATCAAAATAGATGACTACAACTGACCTCTAGCAATTCACATGAGCACAAACTTCATTGCCAGAAGAAATCTAAAAAGTATTACCACTAATTATAAATTCTTGAGCAAGAAGCCAAGGGCCATAGGGCACAGGTCATGTTTTCATCACTGCTGTTTGTTGATGGCAACAGATACAGAAGAGAAAATTTGACTTGGGAAGTAAGCAGCTGGCTAAGAAGATGGTACCTAAGAATAGAATTTGGCCTCCTGGAACATAGCTTAAAATACAATGATGACAGATCTCTCTTGAGGATTAGAGTACACCTAACAAAGGCTCATAAAAATGTATTTGCCAGGTGTCTTGCAAATCTGATCAAAAAGGACTTTAAATGAAAGGGATGAAAGAAGAAGATAAAACCGCTTATGTATATCCACCAAGCTGGCTACTAGAAAGAGGAGAAACAATGAAAGAATGATCACAGCTGATACACTCATAAGTTACAAGTAGGTAAAATTCCAAAAAGGAAACCCTAATAAAAGCCATGACTTCAACACACAATGCCTATAGTTTAAGTAACTAACAAGAATAACTAAGAGCCATAATACAAGGAGAGAAACTAGACCTTACAGCTACACCAAGACTTAGTGAGATAAGATCTGTGATAGTAATGTGTCTCTGAATGGGAACCCCCAATTCAAAAGAAATAGGATAGCACAAGGCGGTGGTTACCATTTTATATTTAATATAAGGAAATCCAGGAACAGAAAAGACAAAACATGGTGAAAAGTATTTAGGTAAAGGTCAATAAAAAGAAAAAACATAAGTGATTTTATCATTGCAGTATGCTACAGACTTGGGTAGAAAGAATTAATATATGAGGAGATCAAGAAACACTTCATAAGCCTCACCAGAAGTGTAATATAACAATAAGAGATTCCATTTACCTAGACATCTACTAGAGGTGCTCTTCTCTCTCTCTCTCCCCCTCCCTCTCTCTCTCCCTCCTCCCTCCCCCAAATTGAGAGAAGGTAATAACATCTTGACTTGTCTCAATATGCTAAAAACCATCCAAAGAAAGGTAACCAAAATGCAACACAGCTTTGACCCCATGACCTTTGAAGATCAGCTGAAGGAAATGGGAATGATTACCCCAGAGAAGAGAAGACCCTGGAGAAGACATGACAGCAACCATTATCTTAGTGATAATTTCATCTTTCAAAAACTAGAAGAATCTGGATCTTATATACTGAATCTGATTCACACTAACATATAAAAATGACAATGAATAAGTGTAAGTTGACTATCTTCTAAAAAGAGAAGGTTTAGGGGTTCAAAAATACTTCTCAATGCCCTCACTTATTGGGGAAAATGAAGTTTTCCTTAAAAAGAAAAGGAACTTTAATGTTAAAATAAAGAAGAAAAGGGGTCTTATGGCAGGAAGTTGGAGGTAGAAAGGAAAAAGGAGCCCTGGAAAAAAATAGTTGCTTGAAGTTAAAGGCTGGGGCGAGGCAAGAGCGTGAGTGCAAGAGCGAGATAATGATAATAAAGTTAAAAGTGTACAGCAAAGAATAAAAGAAAACCTACAAGGAAGCAAAGAAAAGATGGACAGCTTTGAAAACAATACGTAGTATTTATCATATAGGTTTTCTTGAAATGGAAATTTATTGTTTTA